ATTATGACCTCTTTGCTGGAGTTAAGAGTCTAGAACTTCCTAGTTGCTTCTAATAGTGACTCGAAAGCACCATCACCTAAACAAAATCAAAGATTACAATGTAGACTAGGAAACTCGACCTAGCTTTCAAACTACCGTACACTCAAAGTGATCTACCGCACCGCGCGTTTTACAGGTGGGGTGTGATCTCCAGATCAAACGAATAACTGTGATACTAAAGATTTTCTCCACAGTTCATACGCTTTGACAACGCATTTTCACGTTAGAAAATCAGTCACTCATCGCGTCAGCAGCTATTCATGTGGACGCCTCCGCTAGCCGGGTGCGAATGATCAACGGCCACCTTCTCGCATCTCGTTGTTCATCCGAAAATCTACACGTGAGCAGACCATAGTCTCCTTTGCGCAAGATTATTTCTTTCGCCAAAAGGAGAGAAAGCTGGCAAATCTAGACGACAAAATCTCAGAGGTGCCAAAAATTTGAGTGTTTCAAATCACTATACGGCTGTTGAGAAAAGATCTTCATTGGCTATGTCGACGAAGAATACGGCAGGCTCATCCATCATCTTCACGTTAGCGCTATAGAAGCCGAAAGTTCAAAAAATCACCTCCACCTCAAGATGCATGTCTCCAAAACTCTCGAACAAACAAGATAGGCTAACGTAGAAATGCACGCGCAGCAGGCAGAAAAGTGTCAAAAACATTTTGAGAAAAGATGAACAGCAGTATAGTCGAAGATGGAGGAACTGGATGATCATTTCAAAAGTCTAGCGAAGTTTTGTCAGATACAAAACCATTACACTCGGACGCTGTGATGGAAGAGTTAAAGTTTCAGAAAAGTAATGGACATAATCATTCATGGTTACTACTTGAGTCTCATCAATAGCCCGCCTTCATGTCGTCATGTGGAATAAAGAGGATGAACTTGTCGTTTCGCCGGTTCCCTCTTTGAAGCCCGATACGCTTTTTCGTCGGTAAAGAATAGAAAGACACCTGATCCGAGCAAGGTAAGACCAGGCCACGTAGAAAACCTCTTGCCAATTCTCCTCAACATATTGGCCCAGTTTTCATGTGTTACTTTTAGACCAAAACTCCCAGGCAATGGCAAACTAGTAAGCCGTTTACTGCTCAAAAGAAGGACGAAATTGGCAAGTGTTACTCAACCTGTTTGTTACACGTCGTACTGAAGCTCTTTACTCGAGGTATTGGAAAACAATCAGTACTATAAACCATTTCCACTCAGTGAGATTCATTACAGGTTACGAAAAAAATAGAAGATCGCTTTGTCTTCTTCTCATTGGCTTGAAGGTTTTTGATCACTTGAAATAGAAGCACACATAGCAGCCTTGGATTGTCGTAGTGTGCCTTCTCAGTTCATAAGGATTCTCCATGAGCTGTGCAGAGATTTCATAACCAAAATCAACATTTATAACTATTTTACTGCTGTCATAAGAATAGCGGTTCGACAAAGCATTACCCTCTTGTCAAAACTAATCAATGACGCACCTCAAAACGTCATGTGAGCACTAAGATGGACAACATGGGAGTAGACATCGACGGTCCACTACTGGTCCCCGATTGAATCTAACGAAAACGATGTTTATGATAAACGAAATGGTCGCGAATGTCCTATTCACGGTCAACGGAATGATTATAACTAAATGCTCCAGGCACGCCTATCCAGGTCGGGAAGTCGACATGGTGGCCGAGCTAGCTCGAAAATCGAATAGAACGAGACGAGTGGGTCGGAGTAGCGCTTAAGGGATCGTGGATGAAGTAAAGAGATCAAAGAACATCGAAGCCACCGTTTTTCGACTCGACGCTTATCCCTGTCTCGACGTGCACTTTGAAAAACTGGTTGCTACGCAGGCGGATCAAAAATACTTAGTGTTTTAGAATGCTCACTTAAAAGATTGAAGCTAGGAGTAACTCGTATCTCACAGGCGAGAGGATCTTTAGGTGCCAACCCACGTCAACGATCGAAAGTCGAGGATGCGTTCTACACGGCAGGCTATCGACAAAGGAGGCCTGGAAACCTGACGCGCTTTAACTCTTCGGGACCCCAGCTTGGATCGTCGCGCGCAGTACAATAGTCGGCGCGTCATTTTCTTGATACAGTTTGGACTTATTTCCCATAATGGAAATAATTCTAGGTTCCTTGTAGTACTTTGATACTTCAAAATTTCATCTATACTCTTGTATGCTTTTGGTGTAAATATAACTCTTAAGTGCGATTTAAAAAACTCTGCTTCATTACAGTTGCACTGATGCTGGCATCTTGTCCATTGTAATAAGCTGAACAAATACTATTTTTTCCCACTTTGCTTCATCCGTCCCCACATTTTTTTTATTGTGTGGACCCCAATTCTTTGTTCGTCTTCTTCTTGAACGGCGTGAAATACTTCCATGGAACACTTTTCTTGAGTACCTGAGAGAGGTGGGAAGGGGGGGGGGGGGAGGTCACGCTTACCGCGACAGGCATCACGACCACTTGGCCACGGCGCCCCGAACAGATACTGTTATGGTACAAATCCAGAAGTTTTATCTCAGTTATCATTTACAATGATCAAAAGTTGTCATGGTGAGTGAAACTTAGAAAATAATGAATTGTTCATCAACAGCCTCTTTTGAAATCAAACCTTTTTGGTGGAGAAAGCTTTTTCCCAAAAAATTTAGTAGTCATTCAAATGCTCAATTTCCGAGAAGTATGATAATCTACTTGGCTTTTGTGAAACAATTTTTAGTGCGACATAACAACAAAACTAGATCAATGTTTCACACTCGGTGTTCCTTGTTCGCTCGTTCGAGGGTCCGTGGACAGTCCTACACTTTCATTTGAGGAGCTATTCTACATCATAGACATGGTCATTTTGAAACTAAATTTTTCATTATAAAATGCTGTGAGGAACGCCGTAGCCAAATGGTTGTGACGCTCGGCGCTGCGTGCGTGGTTAGACCCCTCCCACATTATCCTCAGGCAGTCTACAACGATCACCCTACGGAACACCACAGATAGGCTATCCTCGAGAAAGCAAAGAGACGTACTCAGACGGTATTCTATAACGCTCAAGAAAAAGGCGAAAAGACTAATTAAATACCAGGTGAATGGGATCCACACAGTTAGTGAAAAAAAAACTGCTAAATAGGGTAGTGTAAAAGCAGTAAAAAAATTATTTTATTCCCGTTAGGGAGCACGGGATGGAGAAAAGATCCCTTTCGCCCGATAGGAGCTTTTTATAGGAGTGCTAATAATAGCTCAAAATTGAATTTCTAGCTACTGCGCTACGTGGCCGTTTTTGAAACCACCCTTTTATAACGTTGTAAAATTCAAAACAATATTACCTTTGAATCGGATGAGCAACTTTATTATTACTCCTCTGGAAACACGAAAAGCATTTGAACTTGTAGCGGAATTTTTGTAGCCTCAGAGTCACTGATCTAGAGTTTAGAGAAGAAATTTTTATTGAATGACAAAAATTGCACTTTACATGTTCAATGCATCAGCGCCATCGATCGGACGTGGTGTTGAAACCTCAGGCGGTACGTCTGCGCCCCCACCTCACAGTCCGTACACTAGCAAAAATCACCTCGCGTGTGTCAATCAATCTTATTTTCCCCGCTACACTGCAGTAAAACGGCCTTTGAAAGAAGCATAGCATTGGAATCACTGAGTCGTACGCTATCGAATGATTGCATAAAGTCTATAGAAAGAGAACTGCCTAATGAGAAATATGCGCATGTGAAACACAAATGTTTTCCATTCGCTGAAGCATTATAAAAGACCTTTTAAAAATAGTTATGCAGAGCAGTAATCAATATTTAAGCTTTCGAGTGGTCATTGAGACTCCATAAAAAGTTCTTTTTCAATGCAAGGGATTGCTTCTTCATCGCGTGCTTTCTAATGAAAAAATACCGAAAAGTGCGTCTCATCTTCGGAGAATTTCAGCACATAAAAGATACATATTGCATCAAAGGGATATGAGCCTGTAGAGGCAATCGTGCTGTATTAGAGTACCGAAGCCCATGATATTTTGTGAATTAAGAGAAAAATTTGCAAACAAATAAGATAATTTGCGCTCCTTCTGATGGTGTTGAGCGTGGCGTTTATACGTTGTGCCTCGAAAGGGCGCTATTTTCATTAGTTATTCAAGGAGCTCCCTCCACTTCGTAAAAATTCCAAGCACATCCTGCAGAGGAAACTTTATTTTTACCGTTCCATGAATTTTACTGCTTATTTTTTGGATAGCAAAAAGAAGATTTAAAATTTGAGCTTAATGGCTATTACTTTGATGGCAAAACGTTATAATATTTTTTCACTTCTATAACACTCTATCTTTCATCCTGCTTACGTAGCGACCAGGTTTCTGCTGCATACGTTAGGGCAGGGATAATTGTCGAGTCGAAAAGGTGGACACGGAGTCGGATGTTCTTTGTCCTCTTCACTACATCTTCGATGCTCTTAAACGTTCCCCAAGCCGCTCGTTTCCTCCTGCTCAACTCTGGGCCGTTATCGAACGCGCAGTCGAAAGGTCGATGCTAGGAGTATCTCGTATTTCGCAAATGAGACAAAGGATCCGAACTTCCGACCTACGTCAACGATCGAAAATCAGAGACGCCGTTCTACACGCCAGGATATCGAAAATAAGGTGGGCCGGACACGTGATGCGCTTCAACGACAACCGATGGACGAGAGCCGTTACCGACTGGATTCCTCGGGACGTCAAGCGCTCTAAAGGAAGACCACTGACCCGTTGGTCCGATTTCTTCACGAAAGCGATGGAAGAAAGATATGATGCTCAGCGAATTCCTAGAGCAAGGAGGACCCACTGGGCTACTCTTGCACGCGATAGGGAAAAATGGAAGAGTTGCTGGTACCCGCTCGAGTCACTCGACGATCAACGGGACGACAGGTGATACAGGTGATAACACTCTATGAAACCTTTTGCAAGTTCAGCCTAAGGTTCAAGATCAGAGATGTTGAAGAATGAGTGGCGCAAATCTGCCTTGATGGTGCAGCGGTAGTAGCACGCGTCCTCGGTATGGATAAAACTCGGGTTCGATTCTCGCGTGAGACCGTGTTTTTGCTCATCACTTAATTCTTTTAGGTATATACGAAATATCATAGTAGTGCGGAAAATGCAGTAAAAATAGCAGAAATTTCGAGATTCAAGATCATCAAGATTTTTCCATCACATTAGTATTTAATCTTCAATGAATATCTATGAAGAGCCAAGCACAGACGCCAACCTTGCCAATAGTAGACGTCAAAAGTAAAATGTAGTCTTTTTCGTCATTGCTACAGCGCATCAAAAAGACTGGGCATAACCAAGCCTAGTACTAGAACAGTCATTTCTCAAGCTATTGAAAGATACTGAAAACACAGTATAACCGTTCACATAGCGAAAACGCCAAGCAAAAACGATCGAAAAACACACATTACGCTTCGGAAGCAAACGGCAGTTTCTCTACGTTGCTACAACGTACCAGAAGATCCTTTTCAAAAACTAAGATAAAATTGTAATTTTCTCAGCTATCAATTAACACCCAAAATTTGGTGAAAACTATGCGTGATGAGAAAACCACGAAAACCAGTGTATATCGTTGACACACTTGGTCCCAAAATGGGAACGCGAAAAGTAATTTCTTCGTTTACTACAGCGCAATAAGAATATTTTCTCAGAAATCAAGTTCCGGATAGAACTGCAGTTTCTCGACTATAATAATTAGATAAAGAATGATATTTTACACAGTGATCTAGAGTGATATGCTGAACTTTTATGCTTGGCGGGATTCGAACCCGCTTTCCACTCTCTGCGAAGGTCGTGTGCTCTATCCTTTGCACTAGCGACGCCTGTCCATCACTATTTCTACGCTACAACGCATATATCTGTCAGCAAGCAGCCATCAATGGTTTGGCATAGCAGTCGATATCGTCATTGAACCTAGTCACGCTGACGGATATTGGCATTAGATGACTAAGCAGAATTCTTTCTAATTAACAGCTTCTAGGGGTGGTGTGATGTTATAAATATAATAGGCGTGGTAGCAAAACATGTAGGTACAGAGGGATGAAGTACGCACCCCTGATAGGGTGAAATGCGGGATCGAGTCCCGCTCGACGCAAAACTTTTGCATATCACTCTACATCATTGAGCATATTTATAACATCATACCGTAGCTAAATGCGTGTAAATAAAAAGAATTATGCCCAGATATTTAGTTGAAAAATTTTATCTGGTGAAAAAGCGAAGCAAACGGAGTGCAAAACACACTACACACTTCTAAAAAAAAACCTAATTTTCTTTACGGTACCACAGCGCAATAAAGAAAAGCGTTTTCAAAAATCATATGGAATTGAAACCAGAATTTCCTCGGCTATAGAGTGACTACTGAATTCAGTGAAAAATCTGTTTTCGGCGATAAAAGCACGAAAAGGTTTGTGTATAATTCCCGACAACGGCAGCCGTTACCGCTGGATTTCGTCAGGCGCACCACAGAAAGGCCATCGAGCCGATGGTTTGACTTTTTATGGAACTAGAAGAATGATATGATCTGTACGATTTCCTAGAGCAAGAAGGACCCACGTGGGCTACTGTTCGCCGACAGAGAAGAACGGAAGGTTCATAGGCGCTTGGTCGAGACACTCAATAAATAGTGGCTCGATAGGTAATTGCTCTTTCTTAGTCGATTCGTCTCGAAAGAATCCTAATTTCTCACTACAAAAGGTGTCACCTGCTCAACTCTGATTTTGCAACTTGCCATTTCAAAAACAGCTGGCCAAAACGTTTTCCAACAAAAGAAAAGACTCTTCTGATAATAGCGCGATTTGTTGAATGACAGAAAAACTGAATTCTTTTCGCTGTGTATAAAAAGAGCTGCGCAAAGCGAGCGCCGGTGGTGCAACGGTTAGCGTACGCTCCCGCAAAAGTGAGATCTGAGCTCGAATTCCGGCTGGGCGCAAATGTTTTTGCAGAGCAATCCAGATTATTGGGTAATTACAAGATCATAACACCGCAAGAAACGGTCAAATAAATGTTTGCGATTGATTATTGACACCCAATATCTGTCTGCTCAAGCGGGTTCAATGCCGATAGCGGCTGCCCGCCAGACCGTAAACGGTTGGCAGTTGACAGAGAACGCGTTATAGTATAAAAATAGTGGTGTGCAAAACAGCGTCGTTGGTGCAACGGTCAGCATACACTTCCGAAAAGAGTGAGATCCGGGTTCGAATCCCGGCTGACGCAAATATTGTTGCAGAGCTCTCCACATTATTGAATCCTTTTTATTTAACTGTTTTTAGAGGTGATATGTTGTCAAAAATTTCACCAGTGACGAGGAGCGATGCATAAATCTTTTGCATCGGGCGGAACTCAAACCCACATTTCATCCTGTCTGAGGGCGCGTGCTTCAACCCGTTGCGCCACCGACGCCTGCTTTGCTGTCACCCTAGCAGAAAAAAAACTGCTTTCACAAGATGGTTAAATGTAGAGCTCCTGGGGAAAAATAAACGCATTAAAATAAAAATCAAAATGATTAATAAAACAAAAACTTACTGTGAGATGGCGAGAGGTAGACAAGGCGCCACTATCACGTACTCAGTATGACGATAAAATGAGTCCGTTGAGAGACTCAGTGGCGTGGAGCAGTTTTTTGTAATGGAGCGCGATTACTGCATTTGTTGAGAAAAAGCTTGAGTTTTCTAAAATTTGATCATCATTACATTGCTGTAGATATTTTGACGGATCGTGCTTGTACTATGAGAATATAATAGCTCTCAGAAACTTTCTTCAACGGAAAATTAGGCTTTACTGGCGTAATATACACTTTAATCCTATGATAATCGTAGTTAAATTCGCCGAGCAATCAGACGTCATAGATGTAATTCTCTGAGTGATAGATCCTCTTCCCATTACCCTTAAACACCCGTTCAGTATCTACTAAGTCGTCCCTAAGGTCAGTATTTCGATCTGCTCAGGACCACGTTTGCCATCGTTTCATTGCCGACATACCCTATGGTCGCCCTACCCCGTAGGCAATCGATACCTTAATCAATATTATGGCCACTTAGAGGTTCCCACTCGGGGACACATGTCTACTCGTTCCAAAACCGTGTAATTGGATTTCCATTGTGTGGTGAACCCATTTTATCCCATCTTATGTTACGCTCCTCCTAGCATGAAGGCGAACACACTCCAGTAAATTACCCGCTACCTCAATGGATGTCCACAGGCTCCCTGGCCGTTCGCTTACTGTGGTTACTCAGCAGATAGTGGGTCCTCAAATTCTACTCAAATATTACGGGCAATCTTCCTCATCTAAGGCACCCTGCGGCACACATGCTCAATGGTACGGTTCCGAGCCCAAGGCTCACCGAGCCTTCTCCATTCAAAGTGGATTAGTTGGTGCAAGACTTGTCTGGCAGTATAGCAACCTGACCACGATGGATCGATAAGCTACTGGGAGTCATTGTAAAAACCAGGTATACATCCAGTCACCTCAAGCGATGCTAATTCGAACTTACGGCGCGGATCATCTCTTATGTATCCAAAAACTCTATCATTCAGCTTTACCCTTTTTAACATAAAAGATTGGCTGCGAGCGATTATGCGACATATGCTTAACTTTATGAGTTAGAGTTACATATAAGTCAGCGGTAGCTTTCCTAAAGCGCCTCGAAGCAGGTGACCACGTAACAAAGAATGGCATGTGAGCCGAGTACACATCAGTGAATTATCTATGATCAGATCAAACTGAAATCAAATTATAACAATTTGTTGCTTTCCTTTGTGTCAGATATTGAAGTAAAATTGCGGACGAAAGAGTTATCAACTCAAAAAAATATTATTATCAGACAATAGCCACTCTGTATATGAGGGTGTCGTCAGCTGACATGATCTATTCAAGCAGTGTAGCGCAGTTGTTCAATTCGGTGCGATCAAGAGGTTTATCAAAAGGATTAATCGCTGTAAGCAATCAACTCGGAATAATCAAATCAGCTCTGAAGAAGTGAAGACAACGTAACCACAGCCAAATTATGTTCCTCATCAAGTTCGTCTAAGCCCACGAATAAATGAAGTTTGATTTCATTTTTCTACTCCGTTGTTCTCAGCATTTCCTGCATTCGACTTGCTTATTTTATTCATCAACAATGAGAGGTCTTCAACCTTTCGAATATCAATAACTTCCGGTTAATTTAAATCTTCTTGGAAACCTGAGAAAGCTCTGCTACTGTGTTCTCACTTGCAGGTAGTGTTCTGTTCTCAGACAGGTGTGGCAAACATTTTCCGACTCAGTGTGATAAGAGTTTTGGCAGGCTCGGGTTGGATCTGATGTACTCGCCCTTTCAATGAAAAATTGTATAGTGTTAAGAGCACCGAGAAAAGCGATAGATGATATCATTACGCCGTAAGCGCAACATTACTCATTAATGCAGCAATGTCACGAAGAGGCTTTCAACTAACTCTCCATGTAGTGGTCCTTTTATGTTTATCCTGGGCCGTATTGATTCCTGTGTGAGCACAAAATAACTTTGAAGAATCCCCGTTTCATACGCCTAGCCAACCTGTGCCTATCTTCTTACTAAAGACCGCATGTTTTTCTGAAATGTTGTTTTTCTTCACAAATGCATCTGACTATACCTAGAGATGCTAATCAACTCCTAAAGGCCAGTCATTCATACTTTTTCTTAATAACATATTGCACGTCAGAAACGGTTGGTATATTAAATAGAACGGCTCAGAAACAATTCGTATATCAAATAGATACGCAAGTGAGCTGCAAGAAAGGACGGAATGTTCTGGAAAAGAAATGTACAGAATAAAATTTCGTTCTCATTTGCCTTTCTCCTTCACTTTTACCACGCGTATAAGTCTGCAAGCACAAGAAGCATATCAGTGTGTAGACAATTTTCCGTGGCATTAGAATCTACGTTTTTATCTAAATTGAATAACAATATATCATAACTTTCATTTCGAGTGTTTTTTAAGACCACAGCTCAAAATTCAATATGCCTTGCAATCGTTTTTGAACCACGCATGTCAGTGGTCTGTTAAAGAAGGACATAGAATGTTAAGCG